TTTATTTATAATGGAGCCTAGGTCTGGCCGAATTGGGCCAGACCCGACCCATTAAACCCCTGAAACCATCATCTTCTTCATCTGCTACTGCTTTACACAAACCAGAGGACAGAAGCGGAGAAGCGGAGAAGCAGTAGCGGAGAAGCCGGGAGGACCCGACTCCACCACCACCGCCGGATCGCTCACGACCGCCGCCACGCCGTCACGCCGTGTCCCTTGTCTCCGCCGCCGGCCACCACCGATGGAGGCAGCCTGTGGCGTCACCACCGGGAGCAACCCAGTTCCGCCACACCGCCGTCCTCAGCGGACAATCAGCCAGCGCCAGAGGATCGTGCATCACCGGCGAACAGAATCCGGCGAGCACCCCTTACCGACGAACAGAAATCCGGCGAAGAACAGTAGCAGTCACGGACGGAGAGAAAAAAAACCAATTGTAATTTTTTTTTTTTTAAAAAAAAAAAATTCTAAATGCGAAAAAGATTACACAATATTTCCAGCAGCCCAACAGAATTGCACATTACATATGTATTCTAAATTATACAAAGAAAGTATAGCATATGTAAATAACTGTATTATGCAATTGAATCAAAGATAGGCAGAGATAAATTGGCACTGATACCAAATGTAAGCACATAATCCACGTGACAATTAATAAATACGTGGCTATTAAAACAGAGTTTAGATTACTAACCTCCAGCCATAGCTTTAGATCTTGATCACCAGGGACTCGTGGTCTGATGAGCAGAAGTTCCTCGGGCTGCTGTAAAAATCTCCGTAGGTTTTAATTGTGTTTCTCTCACTTCTCTCAGTGACTTTAGATGATGTATGATACGTCAACCGAGCAGTGAGAGGACTTGAGAGTCTAAATAACCTACATCCCATCAATGTAGGTAACTAATTACCTAATGCTGACTAAGTTCTAATACTTAGTCAGCCTATTGATTTGCACCACTTAAATATTATTGTTATTATATAATAAACTTAATAATAATAATAATAATAATAATACACAAGGAAAACGTTACAATTGTCTCTTAATCAATGAATAAAAAAAAAATTATTATCTTGTGTTATACGATAAAAAAGTCATAAAGATATATATATATATATATATATATATATATATATATATATATATATATATATAGAGAGAGAGAGTTCAGAAACCACCACTCCTACTAAACTGTGAACTCTCCCCCTCTCTCTCGCACCGACGGTTCGTAGCTACCGGTCGGCCACAGATCGGACCTCCGGCGGCCTTTTTGGACGATCCGCTGCCGGCCGCTTCATCTTTAAGCTCTTCGCCTCCGTTCTCACTCTCTCCGTTTTTCTCTTCTTAACTCTCTCCCTGCGCTACACTTCCTCCTCGGATCCCGCCGATCTCAACGTCGTAAGTATCACTCGTTTGATCACTTTCCTTGTTCATGCTCGCATTTCTCGTTTCGCGCATCTGTCGGTGGTGTCCGAAAAATTGCCGGCAATTTCATGCTGTTGAGTTCTATAATTGTAATTTTGTTCATGTTTGGCAATTTTTAGTAGATAAAATGTATGCAGATTGCAGAACCTATAGTTGCTACTAATTATCTCTATAAGGAGTAATTTATGAACTGTGTATTTGATAGCTTTAGAGTTTGCTTATTTCTTTCACAATTAGTTCGATCTGGTTTTGATTTCTTACATTCTGATTAATTTTTTCAAAAGCCAAATATTAAAACAAAAGAGATAATTTAAAAAAAAAATTACCTAAGAAATATAATTGTAAATATTGTTAGATATACACGAAAAATAAAACACATTGAAACTTTATAAAAAAAATTCATAACAAAATATGAAACATAATTAATTTGAATTAAAAACACTATAAAAATATGTTGATGCTAAAACATTCGAACTATGAAACATAATTAAGTTGAATTAAAAACAATATGTTGATGCTAAAGGATTCAAACTATGAAACATAATTAAGTTGAATTAAAAATACTATGTTGATGTTAAAGGATTCAAACTATTAAACATAATTAAGTTGAATTAAAAACACTATAAAAATATATTGATGTTAGGATTTGAACCCTTGACCTTTACCATTGTCAAAAATATGCTCAACCAACTAAACTAATTCATTCTTGTTAGCATTTAATAGTTTGTTTATACTAATATTAAAACATGTACTATATATATATACATATATACATACAAAGATTATATATGGGGTGGGGGTAGGGGGTAGCTGCCCCGGCCCCTTTGACTCCGTCCCTGCCTATGAACATAAGTTATACTCCTAAATCAAATTTAAAAAATAAATAAATATATAATATATGTATATGCATTGTGTTGTGATTTTTTATATATTATGTTATAAAATTCTATACATTACCAGTATGAATTTGTACTTCATTATTTTCATTCAGGGTCACAATCATTTGTCAACCTTAGTTCATGATATAAAATTATAAATTGCCTTTAGACCAGGTGTCACTGTGGGCCATTTCATTACAAGGAAGATTTGTGGGTGGGCCCAATTGAATCAATCACTCTTGACTTCTAAGCTAAGAGCTAGTGAGGGCTTGCCGAGTGCTGACCACCTAAAGTTCTTTAATATACGGAGTATATTGTTTTGTTTTTCTTGCTTACCAAGAAAACAACGGTAATTTTACCAAAAAAAAAATAAATAAAAACAACGGTAATACTCCGTAATTCTTCCAACGGATATACGGAGTATATAATTATATACGGCTCTTTCCTAATTTCTTATACTTCATCTTCTCATTCGGCTTTCTGTACTTTCTCTGTAACAACAATGGCTGAGCAAGAAAAGAAAGCGAGGAAAATTCGATATCAAAACCGAAAAATTAGTATTTTGAAAAAGAGTAAAGAACTCTCTACTCTCTGCGATGTTAAACTGTGTGTGATTATTGTTTCCCCGGACGGAAAACTGGAGACTTGGCCCGACAACCTTAATGACGTGAAGGCGGTTCTGAGTGCCATGAAGGAAAGTGGTAAGCCCATCCGTTCTGAAAATCCCAGGGAAAAGAAAGGCAGCGGCGGAGATCGCTTGTGTTCGAGAATCAAGATTCCGAAGTCCGATAAAGGCAAGGAAATCGACGTAGAAAATTGCGGGTTTGGGAATAATGCTGCGGGTATTGTGGAGGACGAGGTATTGTACGACGTTTCTGGAGCCGATCAAGAAAATAATAATGCCCAGATGGATAACGATTTTGGAATGAGCGTTGTTGACATGGGGGTAAATCAAGCGCCCACTTTTTCTTCTTCTTATTATGGGAATGGGAATGGGGAGAGTAATTGTGAGGGATTTGGGAACTTCATTGGAGATATGGTGACGAATCAAGGGGAGTCTAATCTTGGTTATTATGGCTATGGAATTTATCATCATCAGAATGAAAGTGGGAGTAGTAGCAGTTTCGCTATGAACCCTAAAACCCACTTTTCTAATCTGCAGCCAAATCAAGAGATGGGGAGTAGAACTGGGCTCAACTTCTCATATCAAGATCCCAGCAGTTCCATTGCTTATCATCAAGAACAGCATGACAGTAGTGGAGTGAATAATAACTTTTGTAATATGGTACAGCCCATTAGTAGTCTTCCTTATGAGCAGTATGAGTTTGGGATTTGGGAGTGGCAGCAGTAGTGTACGTGCAACGTGATTTCAACTATCGAGTCAACTTCTGTATTCTACTAATATGCTTCCAAGTCACCATTATCGTCCCTGATAATGTTAGTTAGGTTTATGGAAAGTTTCTTTTTTTTTTTTTTTTTTAAATAATGAATTCTTTTTTTTGAAAATTTTAATAATGAATTCTTAGTTTAGTTTGATTCTCTATTTTCATGATTTCTACATCCGTCAACTACAAAAGAAAGCAAAGACTATTACCCTTCATCACTTCCTTTATGGTGAATCTGATCTGTTTCTGGTTTTGTTCAACATTTGTGTAAATCTGTAAAAATGACACATAATTTGCTTACAAATTCTACATTGTCTAAATCAAATTTCAAAAATAAGTAGCTATATAATTGTGTATGGTTTTTTATATCTTCTGTTATAAAATTTTATATTTTAAGAATATGAAATTTATATCTAGTTATTTCAACCTTAACTAAGGTCCATAATGTTACATTGATTTAAATACTAATCCACGATATAAAATATAAATTGCCTCTAGCCAAAGAGTCACGATAGTTATTGTATGGGTCACAGTCCAAAAATGACGTCACTTTTTTTTTTTTTTTTTTTTTTTTTTGCGCTTCCAGCTGTAACTTACGTTTGTATAACTCATAATGCATATTATTCTAAAACATAATGTACATTATTTTAAAGCATAATGTACATTATTTTAAAATATAATGTACATTATATTACCTCATATATTTCATTATTCTAACACGTAATGTACATTATTTTAACACATAATATACATTATTCTAACACGTAATGTACATTATTTTTACGGCAATTTATATCGTGCACCAGGGCGTGCATTGCATTGTGCGCCCTGATGCAAAACTTCGTTTTCGTTTCAGATTTTTTTTTTTTATTTATTTTTTTTGGAAATTTCGCTACCCAATGTTGGCGGTTAATTTTTCTTAAAAACAAAATTTCATGTTCAAAAATGTACATAATGTTTTATACTAGAATACACATAATTGTATACATAAATGTACATAATTGTATAAATAAATACACATAATTGTATAAACAAATACACATAACTGTATAAACAAATACACATAATCACATCAATTCTCTACAACGCCTCCTAAAACGACGTCATTTTGGGAGCGCGTAGCGCACATTGCTATATGCGTCATGGTGCAGGGTATAACGATTGTATTTTTATACTCATAATATATACGATATTGTTTTTGGACCGCAGTCACGGTCCACGCAATAATTTACGAGGTGTCACTATTGGGCCATTTCATTACACAAGAAAGATTTGTGGGTGGGCCCACAGGACAACGTGGGCCCAATTGAATCAATCATTCTTGACTTCTGAGCTACAGAGCTAGTGAGCTTGCGGACCACCTAAAGTCTGAGCCGATCAAATATTAGGGTTTGTAATAAAGCAGCTTCCAGCTTCGAGGACGACGAACTTCGCACAGTGACAATGATTTACGACGTCAACTCGCCGCTGTTCCGCTCGTTTCTCAGCCAGAAAGGAGGCGGTTCCGATAAGAGGTTCGCATTAATTTCTTGTCTGTTGCTTTGATCTGTATATATTTTGCGCTGTTTCTAATTTCAATTTTCAACTAAACAGGAAAAAGATAAATTTCATTTTTTCCTGTTCTAATTTCATGTTCCTGAATCCTTGGAGTTAACAATTATGTCTCTTGCATTGGTTGAAAAATATTGATGAAGTTGCTGAAAATGAACCAAAATAGGAATTTTGGTATAAAAATAGCTGCTTTAATGCTTCTAAATTGTGGTTAAAATGGAGATTTTCTGGAAAGCATTTTAAAGTAAGAAACCTTTTGTTTTTAACATTTTATTGAATATGTGAAATTATGGAGGTTTTAAAACCAGGCTCAGATGATGTTAAGGTAGGTGTTCAAGGTAAGTTTGGATAGCTTATGCATTGGTCTAGACTGGGTTATAAGCATGGCTGACATGATGTCAAGAGCTTGTGTTGGCTTGATGATGTTGACCCGGGTAGCATGGAAACAGGGAATGAGGGAAAACGCGGGATACAAATGTGAGGAAAATGTAGAATTGTAGAAATGTAAAAAATATAAGTGTATAGATTTTGAAACGAACCCGAAATGTGGGAGGTTTGGTGCATTATAGATGTTGACTATGGAGCATGGTTTTTAGCTTTATGCATTACGGGTGTGTGCATATAGATGTTGAAACGGTCCTGAAATGTGGGAGGTTTCGTGCATTATAGATGTTGACTATGGAGCATAAATTTTAGCTTTATGCATTATGGGTGTATGTGTGTTTATGTTTGCCTTAGGGGTTCCGGGCACCGACAGTTATTGGATGTTACAATTCAGGTCATATGAACAAGTTCGGGTTTGTTGTTCATATAAGAAATGAGCATTATGGAACAAATTCAGGAAATAATGAACTATGATTTGTTTCTCAGTATAAAGATTCAAGACTAATATTTTATGGGTCATGAGCTACTGCAACCGCTCCTATTTTTACTTGAGCTTTTCATTAGACACGGGCTGGCTTTCTTATTAAAAAACTGGCAGTTGATCAAAGTCCTATCAGATCCTATGTATTCTCTAGCTCTGTATTTACTTTCCTGGAGCTCCGTTCACCATAATTTTCTGTGAATTTTGGCAGTTAGACTATGAATGAAATCTTGAAATTTGCTACCAAAAAGTGAAGAGTGTTTATCACTACATTACTTGTAGTTCCTCTTCTAAAATGTAATTTGTTAGCTGGGATTCTTACTATCAAATTCTGCACGAGCTGCTTTGTTGCATTCAATCCATTAACCGTGATTCTGATATCTGGATTTATACAGGAAAACTGAAGAGCAAAAGCCAAAGGAACAGAAGCCTAAAGCGAATGAAAACAAGCCTGTTATGAATGAATAATAGCTTCCTGATGTATGCAAATCCAGGCATTATAGAATGCTTTTGAAGTTGTTAATAAACTGTTTTGAACTCTATCTGGCATCTGCTGTGTGCTGTAACATGATGTTGAAAATTCTGCTGCAAGTATGTAAACTATGGGCTGTTTTCTATCCTGAATTGCAGTATATGTGATCAACTCTTCTACTAAATCTTCAATTGATTTGACAGATTTTGCTAAATTAGTCTTATGCTTTTAAATTGTTGATGGATTGCCAATCAACTGTAAGGGCCAATCTGTAGTTTTATTTGTTAGAGTGTGCATTTTTTTTATTTTTTATTTTTTTGGGTCAGATGAGATGTTTTCTGAGGTAAGATACACTAAGCATCACATGTCTAGTTAAGTTGGAAGAGACTAATATCATTTCATTCACACGCTCCTTGTGTGCCCTTTTTTATACGTCTCAAGGTTCAAGGCTCAAAAGGCGTAATTTAGATACATCTAAAATCCTAAAAATTTGTTCATTAATAGATTCCTATAGTAACTAGTGGTTTTATTATGGTTAGACCTCTTAGCATGGGGAGAATGCCCTTGTGGTCCTTAGTATGGAGAGAAGGCTCTTGTGGTCCTATTATGAAAAGATAATTTAAAAGTTTTAGTCTAAATTTAGTTTATGCTTTTAAATTGTTGATGGATTGCCAATCAACTGTAAGGGCCAATCTGTAGTTTTATTTGTTAAGAGTGTGCATTTTTTTTTTTAATTTTTTGTTTATTTTTTGGGGTCTGATAAAATGTGTTTTCTTAGCTAGGATACACTAGAACTTCACATATCTAGTTAAGCTGAAAGAGACTAACATCATCTCATTCACACGTTTTTTGTGTGCAGTTTTTGATACGTCTCAAGGCTCAAAAGGTGTAGTTTAGATATATCTAAAATCCTACAAATTTGTTCACTAATAGATTCCTATAGTAACTAGTAGTTTTATTATGGTTAGACCCCTTAGTATGCGGAGAACACCCTCGAAAATTGCTAAATTGTGGCCTCATTATGAAAAGATAAGTTAATATTTTTAGTAGGCTAAAAAGACAAGTTTAAAGCATTGTGCGTTACATTATGAGTTTTATTATAACACAACTTTATAATACAATTATAACTCTATTTAAACATTATAATATCCTGAAGTAACTTAAATAGTCTTAACGTCTTGTATAGATTCACATCTCGACCCAACTCTCCCGATTTGACAATTTCATAGTATTCATGTGTTAGGAACATATCACTTTTATGTGTGATTTACAGATGCAAATTATTAGATCATAAAAATAGTAATAATGAATATGAAGAGACTTATTGTCACGTAATTAATGAATAAAAAAAAATTATTATCGTGTGTTCTACGATAAAAAAAGTCACAAAGATATATATATATATATATATATATATATATATATATATATATATATATATATATACACACACACACACACACACGTACCTCACAATGCAACCTTATTGAAAAGGAAAATATTATATGTATTCTTATTTTTTACTTTCAACTTTACTCCCACACATAAAATCTTGATATAGACACTTGTATTGAACATCTGAACATACATGAAAAAGTAATTTAATAATTCATAAAAGAGTAAATACCAAAAATGGTCTATCGACTATAGTTAAATTCACAAATTGGTCCTCGACTTTCAATTTCAACCAACTAAGTCCTTAACTTTGTAATTTTAACACAATTTGGTCCTCTGTCTATTTGACTGTTTGTTAACTATGATTTTTGAGGATATATATGTAAGAGTTAATTACCAAAATGGTCCCTTGACTATTGCGAAATTACCAATTTGATCCTCGACTATTTTTTTTACTCAATAAAGTCCTCGACTTTGTAAATGTTAACCAATATGGTCCTTTGTTAGGTTTGGGGTCTAGCATCTGTTAAAGTCCAGGGTAATAAAGGAATTTCACCATTCTCTCATCCACTCTCCTCCCTACTGTAACGTTTCTGTTCTGCTAGGCCGAGGTGGACGACCGGAGCTTCCCCTGAGTAATCCGCTGACGGTGTCGGCTGCTCACCCGCCCCATGGAGGAACATCTCTGTCCAACGCTCCATATCCTGCAAACCACCATCGGAATCGAGGACGTTTCCAGATGGGCAACTGTCCTTTGCTGCTCTGTCAACTTCAAATTCATACCCAGACTCGACTACTTCCAAAAATTGGGATTTTCGAAGCAAGAAGCCACAACGATTTTCCGGCGGTTCCCTCCCCTATTCCGCTACATACAACTACATACAAATATATAATAGGTTATATTCAATTTGTATGTATATATCTATTAACGTAAGAGGTCAGAGATTATCAAAAAGATCACTTGGTGGATTCATCGTCGGCGGCCTGGACCTTGATTAGTAACTTGCGACATGAAACATTACAAAAAAGGATTGTCGTTGTCGTCGTCTATACCAGTAAAGCTGCCATGCAACTTTTTCATCTGTTCCAGTCTTCTTCTTATTCTTCTCTTCTTCTCCGGCTTTGCTTTCTCCACTAGTCGCTTCTTCTTCATTCCCTCGAAAATTCTGCAGAGTTACTGAAACAGACTACTACCTCCATGGATACTACTCCGCCGTCTCATCGATCCGAACCCAGAAACCGAACAAAATCATCTTCAAGACTTTAAAAACTGCGTCAAATCGATCACCAAGAAGGTCAATCCTCCCCTTCCAAAGTCGCTCTTGAAAGTGCCACTCCAGTCCCAAACCCGCCCTACAATCTCCCAAACCAAGAGCTCTTACTTCTCTCCCCATCGCCTAATCGGAAATCGAAGATCCGTTTGTCAGAGAAGCTTGGCGATGATGGTGCGGAGGCAGTTGGGGTTCGCAGGAGATGCAGGAATAGGAACGCTGCTGCAGTTTGTGCGTCTCCAAGGAATAATCGGAGATTAAGGAAGCGTTTAGATCAAGAAATGGTGAGAGAATCATTAATTGAATATTAAATCATTGAACAACAGGGTATTGTCCACGGTTACGACTGGTGACGCCGTGGAGTGCATCTGCGATGAGAGTGATCCCCGACGATGCACCGGAGAATTAAGTGGTGTCAATCTCAGAAGCCGTCATTTCATCGGTGAAATTTCTTTCTTACCCTCCACTTTAACAGATGTTAGATCTCAAATCTAACGGAGGACCATATTGGTTAACATTTACATAGTCGAGGACTTTATTGAGTAAAAATAATAGTCGATGATCAAATTAGTAATTTTGCAATAGTCAAGGGACCATTTTGGTAATTAACTCTATATGTAATTTCATGGTCCACCATCGGTTTTTTAAGGTTCTGATTGCATTTTCATACCACACTGTTACATTTGAATCCACTGCCGAAAGCAATCTACCAAATCCGGTCGCCTTTCTTCATCCTCCCTTTGGATTCAATGTAATTGAGTTCGTACCTGAGCGAAGAAGACGACGTGTTTCCGAACCAGTGCAACGTCATCCTAGAGGCCTCCACGTGTTCCGATGAGAGCTGAAGGTTCTTCTGGAGATCGTCGATCACAGTCAACAAACGATCAAATAGATGGAGGACTAAGGATCCTCAACACACTTAAATGCAATGTGGATGCAGCCATATTTACTTCTGCTGTTGGTTATGGAGCGGTGGTTCGTGATCATGAGGGACGTTTTGTGGCAGCCACATGTGGAAAACTCCGGAGCACTAAGGATCCTTATATGGCGGAGGGGCTGGCAGTCAAAGAAGCTTTAACGTGGCTCAAAGATCTTCATCAGAATCATATCATCGTTGAATCCGATTGTTTAAATTTCTGCAATGTTTTTAATTCCAGTGTCGTGGATTTTTCGTACGTAGGGTCTATTGTAACGCAATGTCTATCAATTGCGAGGGACATAGCGAACGTTAGGGTTCGCCATGTCAGGAGATCAGCGAATCAGGTGGCTCACAAGTTGGCTCGAGCAACCGATTCTATGTCTGTCTCAGGTTCGTGGGTCGGTATCCCACCAACATGTATTGCCAGTTTATTAAGCTATTAATGAAATTCTGTTTTTTGCTTTCAAAAAAATAGATGGAGGACCAAATCGTGTCAAAATTACAAAGTTAAGAACTTAATTGGTTAAAATTGAAAGTCAAAGACCAATTTGTGATTTTAGCTATAGTCGAAGGACTATTTTGAATATTTACTCTTCATAAAATAAGATTTGAGAGTCTAATGTAAGTATTGTAGTACAACTCTATTGAAAATCAACGAACGAAAACAGAGCATTAATAACAGAAGCCGAGAAAAAAAGCGCCTAAAGTATTACAGTAAAGATTAAATTATTAATTAATCTCACTTAATTAAATTGTGATCTCTGTCGTATTATGTGACCCCATTCTTCGATTCCTATTTCAACCCCACCGGCCACCGTCACAGCTCACAAACCCGCGTATAGATTTCACTGCCAGTTCAGAAACTACCACTCCTACTAAACTGTGAACTCTCCCTCTCTCTCTCTTCGGAGAAAGAGAAGCAAAAATGGCTATCGCACCGACGGTTCGTAGCTACCGGTCGGCCACAGATCGGACCTCCGGCGGCCTTTTCGGACGATCCGCTGCCGGCCGCTTCATCTTTAAGCTCTTCGCCTCCGTTCTCACTATCGCCGTTTTTCTCTTCTTAACTCTCTCCCTGCGCTACACTTCCTCCTCGGATCCCGCCGATCTCAACGTCGTAAGTATCACTCGTTTGATCACTTTCCTTGTTCATGCTCGCATTTATCGTTTCGCGCATCTGTCGGTGGTGTCCGATGTAGTTTTCTATAAAAAATTGCCGGCAATTTCATGCTGTTGAGTTCTATAATTGGAATTTTTGTTCATGTTTGGCAATTTTTAGTAGATAATATGTACTCAGAACCTATAGTTGCTACTAATTATCTCTATAAGGAGTAATTTATGAACTGTGTATTTGATAGCTTTAGAGTTTGCTTATTTCTTTCACAATTAGTTCGATCTGGTTGTGATTTCTCACATTCTGGTTATTTGCTAAGACTGGTCTAGTTGTATAACTTTTTTTTTTTTTTTTTTTTTTTTTTTGGATTTTTAGGGCATTTTGCACGATGCATATGGAGTAGGGCCAGTTCGAAGATCCGTACTGGCTCTGAAATCGGATCCATTAAAGCCAAGGTTTGATCTGATCAGGAAGCAAGCAGAGGATCACCGAGCTCTGGCTTTGGCTTATGCTTC